GCCCGCCTCAGCCTCCCAAAGTGCTGAAGATACAGGCATGGAGCCACCGCACCCCTGCCAGAAAAAAATCATTCTTAAAATATACGTGGCAATTAGCCGGGCTGTCCTTTGTAGGGACATAGATGAAGCTGGAAACCATCATTCTCAGCAAACTATCCTAAGGACAAAAAAACCAAACAGTGTATATTCTCACTCACAGATGGGAATTGAACAATGAGAACACTTGGACACAGGGCGAGGAACATCCCACACCGGGGCCTGTCGTAGGGTGAGAGGAGTGGGGAGGGATAGCATTAGGAGATATACCTAATGTAAATGACAAGTTAATGGGTGCAGCACACCAACATGGCACATGTATACATATGTAACAAACCTGCGCGTTGTGCACATGTACCCTAGAACTTAAAGTATAATAAAAAAAATTGAAAAAAAAAAAAGTCTATGCAAGAAAAGTAAAAAAAAAGTCTACGCAAGAGATGGAAGGCTCCATATGAGGCTGTAGAAGTGAGAGCTCAAAGGAGAACTTAAATTTGATATTCTTTGGGGAAGGAGACTTTACAGGACCATTTGCTTTAACCTAGAGCCAGATTTGGATTAGTCTGGTTCATTCAGTGTACTAGCTGGAAGTTAATAAAGCTAAGCCCTGGGTATGACATTCCCATCCCCTTGTGTCCTCCTTCTGATCTTGTGTCTGCCTGCTTAATGATACTTTAGCCATGTCTTCAGTTTTCCAACCTTGCAGTGACTCCTTAGACCTGATTATAGATATTTGATTTCTCTTTTTGAATTTTGGCTATCACTCACCTTCTGGTCCCACTCATTTGTGGTTTCTTTGCATACTCAAACAAAGCAGGACAAAGAAACAGTCGTATGGGGAAAATAGAAGTTACAGTAAATGGTGCTAAATGTTTCCACAGAGACGTAGAATACTATGGAAGCTAGGTGGAAGGACTGCCTCATGCTCCTGGGGTCAGTTAGGGCAGAGGAGAAAATGCTTTAGCT